TGACTCTATGACTTTTTGTACTTCACTCTCTGACTTTACATAGCGCTAAACTCTTCGCAAATGATGCTTTCGGGCCACATGTCTTCTAGTTTTGTTCTCTATTCCTACACTTAAAGGAACGGGCGTGGTGTCTGCCGGCATGTATTTTCGCGAATCTGCCGGGCACCCGAGGATCTGAGATCTTAATGCTCCTCTACAGTTTCTACGTCTATTTCATCGACAAGTTCTTCTTCTTGTGCCTCCTGCATGGTTTTGCCTTCAGAAAGATTAAGTCCAGGCTGATGGGCTGACATTGCCTGACCCTTTTGATGCCATGGCTGCGAACAGGCGCATCAATCGGCAGACGTACTACGTGAGTTCCAATCTCGATCGCACGGTCGCCCTGATGCACCCAGCACCTGCTGTAATTGAGACTCCAGTTACCGATGGCCGGTCGTTTCTGCCGGACTGGCCAAGGTGCACTACCTTTTCACTGTTCCCATGCGCAAAGCTCAGCCCAGACTCACAGGAGGGTGAGCCGTGTTCCGGACATTGCTACACAACAAAAAGCGAAAGAAACAACAGACCAGACAGGTCATAAGCTCATGAGGTCAAGCGCCAGCCCTCTCACCAGCAGCATCTTCCGACTGTGATGCGACAGTTCCAGGTTACTTCTGGCTTGGTTTCCTCTTCAGCTCTTTGACTCTTGGCTGCCGCCGAGTGGCTGGGGCAGATATGCAGCCATGCCCGCAGCTGTGGCTACTTGGTGGCCTTTAACTTTCAGTGTAAATTGGGCAAAGGATGCTGTCCGAATATCCGTGGCCGTGTGCACGGTTTTGTTTGTAATTAAGGGATTTGCCTTTGCCATTCTCTATGATGCCACAAAGATATTCAGGCGGGCGTGGTGCTGCTGTTCCTGGCCACGGTGAGTATATGTGAATGCCTCGGTCGCTCAGTTTTCTGGGATTTCTACCGAGACAGGTTCTTCTAAGCAGGGAGCTGGACGCATATTCCCCAGCTTTCATTCAGCTCCCTGAAACTTTTCCTGGCCGTGCGCATGCTAAGAAGAATATAATATGCAGTGATCTATCGGCGCCCTAATTATGCGGCCTCGCCGCACACCCTCTGGCTGCACCGTCGTCGTATCCGTGACAGCTACCGGCTCAGTGGCTTGTTAGCTTTACGTTTTGTTGTCGGCCTCTTTGACTATCTGACCATAGTCATGGTGTGCCGAGTGGTGGCGCAGTTTTTGCTGGAGAAGCCCCTGTTCCAGATGGGCTGCGGCATCGTGCTGGGACTTATCGTTCCGGTCGTGGCAAGGCTTGCCGGAAACAACGACCCCGACGAGAACCAGATCTCGCATGTCTTCGGGCAAGATTCCATTTGCGTGGCCATGGACTTCCCGGGCTGGGTGGAGGTTGCCACCATCATGTTTTTCTTTGCTGGCTTGCTTCACTCCTATGCTATGATCAAGGTGTACCAGCACTGCAAGAGTGAGTGGAAGGCTGAGAGCAGCAAACGATGCCTCCTGGCGTTCGTGGCTTTCGAGATCCTGTGCGTAAACTGCTTCTGGATGGTTGGCCTGTTTAGCCCTGTATTGGACCACAGCGTCGGCCAAGTCTTTGCGCACACTATTCCGTTCATCGTCTTCCAGTTCTTCTTCTTCTTTTGGGTGATCTTCCTGATGGCCTTCGTGCCTCCAAAAGACGTGAGCAAGATTCGTGCAGTGTCGTGGTACCATGGCTGTGCTTCAGAGGGGCGGGCCGTAGTTCCAGGTTTTGCAGTCCCGGCTTACTCTTAAGGTTTCTTGAAACCCGTCTCAGGTACTGCGTCAGCCTGGGCTACGTGGTCTTGCAGCTCGCTCAGCTCGTCATGATCTTTTACACGCTGGCATTGCTGGCCCAGCCTGGCGTTGAGACTTCTGGACCGAACCGCTTCAAAGGCCCGCTGGCAACTGAACAGGCTTCACTCCAAGTTCTTGAGCCCGTGAGCCTCTTCGGCCGCCTCACCTGCCTATGCCTGCATCCTTTGCGCTTGCAGCGCCAGCCTGAGAACCCGAAGGTCGTGGCTGATGCTGTGACCGACTTCAAGACCGAGGAAGCCTAAGCTCAAAGCCGCGCCTCTGCGCTTGGAGCTCGTCCAAGACAGAGCCCCAAGAGCATATTTAGTGTGCAGTTTCAAGCCGTTTTGCAGGGACCTGCAGGGACAACCTGTGGTGGTCTTGCATGGATTTTCAGTAACAACAAGCTGTAGATCCCGTGCTGGTGGTAGGTCCGGCCGGCATATGGCGCACGAAACCCTCCTGGCACCACTGTATAGTTGGACAGCCACCTCCAGCGCCTAACCTACAATGGACGGGCCTGTAAGGGAGGCGGCTGTAGACCCTGCTGAAGGCAGGCCTTTCAGCAGAGTCGGTCGTGGTCAAATCGGTAAAAGTTGATGATAGCCAGTAGTTGGACGAGAGGCTCTGAGAGATCACTGTCAATATTTGCTGGATGCCCAGCGCTGAGGTAGATGCTGCAATGATCCGCAACGTGAGCTCAGTGATGTACCGTACGTGGAGGTGCCTGGGCACATGCATCTCTGCCCTCACCATGTCTTTACTTTCGCAGGCTATTGTTACTTATAATAGTGCACTTCCTGGAGAAGCAGGTGTTGAGGAGAACTGTGCAGGCTTCGAAGCATGATTGTGCTGTTCTCGCTTCTGCCACCTCAGGTTGCCGCCGTCACGGCTTGCAACTACTTCAACACCAACTACGCTCACGTTCTTCGCACCTTGCATTTCCCATCCATCGCTTGCGTCCCAGGATTGTTCTGTCAAGTTTGTAACGAAAGTCGGGAGTAGGCAGTAAGTGACCCGAGGTCGTGCCGCCTGTCTATCCGCACTTAGCTGGAAAGGAGTATCTTCATGGCCTAGGCCTCAGCACCAGATGACATCCTGCCATACCTTCAAGATCATGTTTGCACCTTGAGCCCACATATTCGCGACTTCCTCCGGAGTCACTTGTGCTGTTTCCGTGCGCCAGGGATCCCAGATGCCCAGACCCAGCCTACACCCAACACGGGATCTTTGTTGTTGGCGCCTTGCAAGCAAGGCCTGCCTCCACGATGGACAACCCCGGCTCTCTCACTGCTATGTTCCCTTCTCTCTTGGTCGTTGGGGGTCGTCGTAATTTGTAATTGGTTCTTGTGGTCCAGTGTTTGTCCTCTTTGCACCCCATATCCCGAAACAATGCCGCTGCAAAGAAGCGTGGACTAGGTGGCCAATTTGCCGACCATGATGACACCGTTCGTCCTAAGCTCAGCGAGTCAGATTTCTGGAACTTCTGAAAACCCTGACTTCTGCATGCTGAGACTTGCGGGAGACGCTGATGCTCCTCTGCAAAAGCCCCTTTGCAGAGCTCGACACGCTGGGCAACCCACAGGAGTGCAGTCTTCAGATTCGGCCTCCCGGTGCGCAAGGGATCCGAAAAGCCAAGGAAAGCAAGCACGGATGTCATTCAACGGCGGCCCCGGCATAGAACAAACAAGAGCAAAGTTGCATACACTATCACCGCCAGAGCTACTTCGCCTTCATGCCCTTGCATGTTATCACAGGCACCTTGACCACCTGGAAGCAATCGGTAAAGACAAATCGCTCTAGTCGTCACAGGGATCCGGGCTGCCAACTCAGGACAGACCGAAACAGTACCGCCTTGACGTCACCTTTCTGCTTGTGGGCATCGGTTCCCAGCATCTTTCTAGTGCGACTGGAGCCACAGCAAGTTAATCTGTTTGCATGCCACCTTCATGGCAGTCTAACACACTGCGTGATGGCGTGCTCTAGCACTTCCTGTACGGCTTACAACTATGTCTACTGCCGGTTGAGTTGCGTCGATATCCTCCTCTGCTGTGCGTTGCAAGCCTTCCTGCAACCTGCAAGCCGCCCGGAACTCTCAAGCTTGCGCCCACTCGCAGGACCTGACCTGAGAGGAGGACAGACTCAGACGAGTAGGATGACTGAGCTTGGCTTCGTGACTTCGTAGGCTACTCAACATACAGTGGAGTCATCCAGGCAACTTGCGAATAAGCGCCTTACGAAGCATCATCTCAGAGCCTTGCCTAGGCTTTTTCTATGCCCCAAAGATTTGGGCAACTCAAGCTTGTGATGCTGGAGTGCCAGACATCACGACTTCCGCACGACTGTCACAGGGCAGCGAAGCACACGCACCGAAGGAAGCCAAGACAGGACAGTAAACTAAGAAGGTCGAATCGGAACGAAAACGGTTCTTGATATTGCAAGCTCTAGCCTGTATGCTGAAAGCTCCGTGCACCAAAGAGCTCGACTTCTTTTGGAGTGCTGTGTGGCGCTCCCTGCTAGGGCAAAGGCACCCTTACAACCGTGCCTGCAAAGATGCATGATGAAAACAGGCCAGCTGCTAGCAACCCTACAAGAGCCATTGCAGCTGCTTCTGTGAACATGCAGGAGTTGCGAGTTTAGCGTTTAGGATGCGTTTAGGGTTTTAGGGTTGTTCAGGCAAGTACTACAACGGTAAGAGCGCCCAGAACAATGTCACCATGTGCACATATACCCGTGATGGTATGACGTGTTTGCGGTCATCAAAGCATGCCTGTTTGACACGCGTGTAGCTCCAACTAACGGTGCATGCACATGTAAGAAGGTGTGTGTAGCAAGACTTGCACGTGTTGCAAGCACCTGCGGACACTTGGCATATGTACCTGCTTGACCAAAAGGCTGGAGAATTTCTGAGCGGTTCTACGGCCTCGAATCAAGTGACGATCCCTGCTGGAGCATTTGTGAAGCCGAAGTTGCCTGAGTTCACTTTGTCATATCGGCTTGATTTTTATGGGTATCAGCGTCTTGCATACTTACAGACACAATGGTACCATGAAGTGCCATGGTCGACACTGAAAGTTTGCATGAACCCGTAATCGGCCACCTCAAAAGATTTCATGTTCCACTGGTGGCCCGACGAGCATGCTGTTCCCACCTCACGCTGCCCCTCGCATGCCTTCTGCGGTGGCCCTGCTGGCGCGGGGACTGGTTGGCACTGCTTGGTGAAGCAGCAGCGTTTTTTGCATGGTGCTGATCATCACGCTGTCCAGTTTGTGGACTGAGCGAGTCACAAAACCGTCCTCGGTGAGACTGGACGCAACGAACGCTGCGCGCCTCCGTGCGACCCCCTTCGTTTGTGTTGGTTTTCGGATGCCCCCATTGCGCTTTGCCGCACTGCCCACTACAGCCAAAGCCATTGCTGCTTGCACGCAGGTGCCGCCTCGGAATCGCAACCGCCATCAACCACACAGGTGGCTCGTTCCACTTCGCGGTTAACTCGTTGAATCGTTGACCACATCTTTGGATATGCAACATAGACTCATTAGACTTGTTGCGGACGTCCTTCGCCGCCTGGTCGTACGCACCCTGACTCACCGCAAGCGCCGTGTCTATAAAGGAAGGGGCTGAAAGCTTGGCCCATGGCCTTAGCGAACAGGATGCAGCCTGCAAATCGAAGCCGTCAGCTGCGAAGCATGCTTTTTTGGATCTGTCGTGCACCCGTGATGACACCCCAATCGTGCGGCACAAAGGCGGTGGCGCGGGCCAGCTCGTCCCGAGACGGTGCAACATCCCAGGGTCAAAGATTCTCGCCTGTGTTTTGCACAGAAGGCTTCCTCCTCCAATAGCAGATGCTGCGGCGACAAAACAGCAAAAAAAAACAACACACGCGCGCGCACACACACACACACAGAGAGTTGACGCACTTTTTATGCTCCGGGAAAAAGCTGTGCCACCGTCCGCTCGGCTGGATAGCGACTATTAGCAGCACGCACAAACTTTCCGTGTTGCGAGCAGCATATGTATAGCAGGAGTCCCGGCCATCACGTTCCGGTGATGATTTTGGTGCCTTCGTACTCTGCATCGGAGTTCTGTCTCGAGACTGCATGCGTGTTCTCGAGCCGCTGCAGCTTCTGGGCAGGGCAATGCTTTCAGCCAGGGACATGTCGATATCGCTGGTCGTATCTCGTTGAGGGCCGTCTCCCCTTCCCCTCCTGATACGCGGTCGGAAAGTAGGCGCGGATTCTTGTCAGAAATGTTCCAGCACGTTCACCCTTGTAGTTCCGGGAGGTCCGTGACCCGTTCCCCACCTTCGATTCCGGTTCTCTGCACTGTGGCTGCGGCGGTTGCTGCAGTTTTTGCCACGGAGTCTATAAGGCTATTGCGGCTGCTGCTGCCGCTGCTGCTGCCGCTGCTGCTGCTGCTGCTGCCGCCGCTGCACAATGGTCGTCAACTTTGCCGAAGGACTCCGAGGAGATGTCCTGCCTTCCCACATCTGCCTGGTTCTCCCAGCTCGTCCTCGGCCTCCGGAGGCCGTGCGACTAGACCCAAATTTCCATGGCCGACGCCTCTGGCTGTGGGCTCCGCCAACACTGCCCGATGCAAACCCAGCAAATTCTCCGTCTCTTTCAAATGGGACCCGGCACCACGGGCAGCGGCGGTTTTGCCCACCTTGGCGACATTTATGTTGTCGCGGCCCCTGAGCGAATCCGTGAGCTGCAGGACGTTTGCCAACGAGCACTCCGCGAGCACGCGCGCATCGAGCTCAATCGCGGCAAGACGGGCACCGCGGGTGAGGAACCTGCAAACATCTCGGGATATCTCGGACTTGCCCGGCCAAAGCGAAGAGCCCATTTGGACCGGAGATTGGGCTCTCCCCTGTGATCGCCAAGGCCTCCTGGTCCTCGTACGCACGAGTACGTGGCCGCCGCCCTCGCTGCGACGCGCGAGATGCAGCAACGTCTCCTCACCCGCATCCCTGACGTGCCGGATTTGCCTCCTGGCCCCGGGCCAACTACCTCCTGCTTTCTTTTGCGCAATGTGCCTCCCGCACACAGCCCAGTTCGTTGCAGATCACGATGCCGCTGTTGCGACCTTCCTGGGCTCTCGTTGTGCACCGCGGTGATCAAATGCCAGCCGCTGCAATACAGGCTTCGCAGCTAGCCTTCGGTTTCGACGGATTGGGGTTGCGCGCATCAAATGCTGACCGCCATGCTGCCTACTGGGCTGGCTCGACACCCTGCCAGCGATGCAAACACGCTCCACGCAGATC